ATTGTTATGTAAATTCTGAATTTAGTTTATTAAGAAGAAATGAAGGTGATAAAAATTTCGAGTATAAATTTTTATATGAATTTTACAATTAACTAAATATTTATAAGGTTTATTGTAAAGTTAAGTTATTTCACGAGCAATGACGTTTTTGTAGGCTAGCAGATGAAAATTGAAAAGCCAGAGATTGTATATATTTATAAACGTTTTTGTTAATTATACGTTGAAGAGAAATACAAGGTTTTCTTTCCATATAATATTATATTTTAAATGAATCTACGGTCTATAAAATAATGTTACTATCAGTTATGGAAAAAAATAATCATATTTTATTTAAAAGTACGTTGTTCCACTTAAAAAAAAAAAAAAAAAAAAAATGTTACGTAAACTTAGTTTTAATGTTCAAATTTATTAATATGTGTTGACAATATCGAATGCGCTCCTTGTGCAGTGGTAGCATTAAAATGTTCCATAATCAATCAGCTGCCTGATCCACAATCCAATGGCTGTAGTTAATTATTAATGTGAAAAAAAAAAGAAAAAATGTAAGCAATAATGGTACCTCACTGGGAACAACCTTTTAGATTGTAGACCTCGCTAGGAAAACAAATTTATATATTATTCATCGTATTGTGTTGAATATACAACTGCAGCAACAAAAATGAGAAACATAAACAAGACATGTGTAAAATTCTTAGAGTATACTTTATTCATCTACCTTATATCCTAGACAATAACGATATGATCGCTCTAATTTACATGACACGGTACGAAAAGACTTGTAACACAATTTTAACTTTTTTTTTTTCTCACATAACACGTTCCTCTGACTCACTCTGATTAACATTCACAAATATCATGAGGTATGCACTTTGTGCCACGTAAAAATACGAAATATTGTAACAATTTTTCGCAACTTTTTTGATTCGTACTTCTAAATAATGAGATTTTTCGTGATAATCTTCGCGTACCACTGACTTATTTATTTTGATTATCTCTATTTTTCATATCAGACATCAAATTAAAATTGAATTCGGACTCTTGGCCATTGTCTCCGTGAACTTCTGCCGCATTGTCTATGGGTGTACAATAGTCATTATTACTTTTACATCGAAAAATTTTAACAAACATGCGTATTAATTATTACCTATTTTACTGTTATCTTTTTCTTGGCCATCCGGAGCATCAACGTTTTCTGCATTCGGAGGAGGTTTCATTTGTGGATTTGGTACTTGATTTCCAGAACTTGCTGTCTTATTGATTACTAGGTTTCCTTGACTTCCTCCAATGTTTACCATTTTATTTTCAGACTTTTCCAAATATCTTGCTGAAATACAAATAATTCATTACTTTCAACTTTTATGGTATTGGTGAGTTTTTTCAATAGATATGTTAGTAATGAATATGCCTAGAACGTAAATACCATTTACGAAGAATACCATCAAATTTACACACTTAACGTTATCCGTATTTACCGTCACAGTTCACTTTCGTATAATCATACTCAAATCTATAAATCTATTCTCAAATCAGTAATACCAAGAGGTTCTCCACTTGTATGTGATACAGGAGATTAAATGTGTAAAAATGAATGGTATTCGTCGGAAATGTTTTAATAATATACTTGATGAATCATGATAAACCACCTAGTGACATGTTATATATTATTTTTGTGTGCAATATTATTTTATAGAGGGAGGATAGTGGCTGCTCTATATTCTAATGATCGGCATGTGGACTGATATGTTTAATATGCAGGTGAACACCAAATCCCCGAGAAGTAGAATTTCCACACAACGAGACAAATTAGTAAAGGGTAGGCCGTTTTGGTTATGAAAAAAAAAAAAAAAAAAAAAAATCCAACAAAGCTAACGTTTTATCTTGGTAACGGAATAACGTGGCGCCAGGCGCACTGCACCAGGTGGATCACGAGGCAGTATGGGCACGCCATGAAATTTCATGCCTCTCTGTCCAGGAACGGAAACCTCGATTGCCGATAGTTTTACCGGTTCCAAATGGGGATTGGGTGTGGGCTGCTCGAGCCTAGCTGGATTGGCTGGGTCCAAAAATTATCGTCCAATTTGAATTTCATTTTTTTTTTTTTTTTTTTCTTTAACAATTTCAATTTCTGTGTCTTACCCATGGGCAACACCGGGACTGGCTTCGGCTGGGGCGCATTCATCGACAGCTTGGCCTTTTCCAGTTCATCTTTAGCCTACAACGATCATTAATCGGTCACCTTTTTTCTTTTTTTTTTTTTCTTTTCTTAACTTGAAT